TAAAAAGCAACATAATAGGTAATGTTAATCGATGTTGGGATACAGTACATATAAGGAAATTTCGTTTTTATAACAACAACAGCTTTCATTTTATTTAGTTTTTTTCTTGTTACGCCCTTTTGCATTTCATGTGATGATATATCAATTCAGTCCAAACTAAATAAGTGGAATCAAATGAGAACATTTTGATTTGGCCGTTTATGTGCATGAAAAAACAAACCGTATAACTCAAAAAGTTTATATTTCTTTATGCAAATATCGCCAACATTAATACGAATTCATAAAGTTTTATGTACTCAAGCAATTTGTCCTATGGTGAATAGAGAAAGCATCGAGACTAATAGTCCTTTTGGTAAGCAGAGCTGGCGCTGTGGGATGAACCAAACGTAATGTTACGGTGCCCAAAGTTGAAGGAGAAAAATGCACTTTCAAATACAGTGGTTTACCTCAGTTTAGCGAATTCGGGATTTAACGAACGTGTAAATTTTTTTCATTGAGAACCTTATATTAAGAATGATTGAGTAAATTTTGTACCCGATATAAGGAACTTCTAAACACATTTTTATAAAAAATGGAGAAAATAATACAAAAAGACCTCTAAACTTCATACTTATCCAAAGCCCTAAAAATTAACACAGTTTTTAAAAACTAAAAATTAAAAAAAAAAACAAAAATGAAATGAAAATTACACTGAAACAAGATTTTTAATAAAAGTATACATTTTAACGTAAAAATCTTTAATTAAAGAAATAAATCCGTAATTTTAATACCGTGCTACAGTCATTTCCACACACGAAAAAATCTATGTGTACAGGAAACTATGGACCATTAGTATTAACTCTGTGTACTCAGTTTTTCGTAATCAGCTCTTATGCCCCTGTAAAAGGACTTAAAGGACATACGATTTTAAAAGATGAAATTCCTAATTTATAGAAAAAATTTTGTATTAATGTCAAAAGAAGCTGAGAACCTCTGCTTCAAAATAATATTATTAATTTCAATTCATCAGGATTAAAATTGAAATGGAAGCTTAAAGAACATTTGTCACAAAAAAGTAGTTAAACATTTTTCGTTTCTTTTTCGATTTTTTGTCTAGGTGAGTCAAATAAATAATATAGATATAATGTACAGATTCCCAGCTTTCATGTACAGATGCCCAGCATTGATTTACATCACATAAAAACATTTAAAATATTCATTTGAAGTTGTAAGTACTTTAAACTCCTTTTATAAGGACATAAGAGCTGATTATAAAAATCGAAGTACGCAGAATTGCTATAAATGGAATCTAGTTTCACAAAATTGTTACAGGGTGTAATAAGAAAACAATTCATTTATCTAACTTTAATATTTTTTCACAAATATGTATGTTGCAAAAACGACTAAAAAATTTTTGTTTACATCACTTCTGCATTCAAAACAAAAAATGCATTTTTTTCAATAAATGGTTTGGGAAATTGCAAAACAAAGACCAAATAATGCAAAAAATGCATGATTTTTATAAATAATAAATATAAATAACATAATATAAATGGCTTGGGAAATTGTCAATAACTTTATTGTATGTCCATTAATAAATATGTATTATAACTCGTTGGATAGATAATTTTCTCCAGATGATAAGATTTTGACGAAATGTTAAGAAAAATAAATTTTAATGGCACGATTTTTGAGGAAACCAAAAAAGACTTATTATTTAGCCAATTCAGCACTTTTCAATCGATTTGCTGCACGGGTTATCGTTATCAGACCTGGTCGATTTCCATTAATTTTGCATTAACATTAAATTAAAAAAAATTAATTTAATGTAAAAAATTGCATTAACATTAAATTTCCAAAATTTAATGCAAAAAATTTGCATTAACATTAAATATTTTTGAATTTAATGCATTAATTTTACATTAACATTAAATATTTTTGATATTAATGCTGAATATCTGAATATACTGCATTAACTTTACATTAACATTAATATATATAAAAATTGATAAACATATTTAAATAAAAATACAGTACAAAAGGCCTCGATTTAACTAAATATTATTAAAATTAAAAATGTTAAAGTCCTTTCTAATAAATCCTATATTCCGTTCAAACTTTTGTGTTTTAAATATGATATTTATATAAGATTCCACAGAGTGTCAAAATAAACTAAAAAAGGAATACCTGGGAAGTGATACTATTCTTCTGATATGTATTATCGAGTATAGGACTTATTAGAAAGACTTTATTTAACACATTCAATTTTACTTGAATTTAGTTAGATCGAGGTCTTTAGCGCCGTATTTTTAATTTTATAAATTATTTTATACATTAATGTTAATGGAAAATTAATGCATTAATTTTATTACTTATTATTTAATGTTAATGGAAAATGAATGCATTAAATTCAAAAAATTTAATGTTAATGCAAAATTTATGCATTAATTTGAAAATTATTTGATGTTAATGTAAAATTAATGCATTCAATTCAAAAATATTTAATGTTAATGCAAATTTAATGCATTAAATGTCCCCATGTTAATGCAATAAACTTGCATTAACATTAATTTTAATGTTGAAAAAAATTGTTAATACATTAACACATTTAATGCATTTATCCCAGGTCTGATCGTTATCCGATTTGACTAAAATTTAACGCCAGTAAGTTTTAGACACTAATAAAGAATAAAAGACCCATCTTAGCAAAATTGATATTTTTGGCACCTCTAATGTACATATCGCACACCCAGTACAAAAGTGACACAACTCAAAATTTTTTTTTAAGAAAAGGAAACAAATTTTTTACAAATTCTGAAAGATAAAGAAAGACATAACGTTTTTTTCTTGAACAGTTAACAACAACAAAATACACTATTATTTTTGTAGAGATAAACTAGTATCTTGTGTATAGTTTAAGGCTTAAACTTAGGGCTTAAAGAATATAAAAACGCAAAAATAAAATTTTGAGTTGTGTCACTTTTGTACTAGGTGTGCGATATGCATATTCACAGGATGCTAGTTATTTTTTCCTTGAAAAAGTTTTTAATTACAGTCTTTAGATAAACTTTTCTACATTCGTGAATAAATTTGTCTATATCTTTATTTTATATACATACATACATACATATATACATCCATATGTACGTATTTCGTAGAAAGATTTTCCTATTCTATGATTTTTGTCATAAATCCTTGACCCTGTATATTTTGCCATTAAAAAAATATACCAAAATGAGCGATTTTTTAGAATTAGATGGCATCTCCATTTATTTGGTTGCAATGTCATTCTCTCAAACATAACAAAAAAGCACACAAACACAAACGTCGCTGCCGTATCGCAGTCATGACAGTTGCAGCTGCTGCAAATGTTGTCTCCCTTGACAAGAATACAACGTGTGGGTGGGTATCAGCAGCGCCGGCAGCCGCAAAAGAAAGAAATGAACACACATTTATAAGTTTATTTTTTTTTCTTACTTCATTCATTTGGTTGGAGGCGGGTGCGGCGCTTTTTAGGAAATTAATACTCACTCACTTCGAATATTTTCGGCGTAGTTGTCGTCACCGTTGCCTTTGTCTCTGCTGTGGCCTCCACTCAACACAAAAAAGACCAAAAATTCTTTGTGAAATTACACAATCCTGTTTTGTCTGCACACTTGCATTTTATTCATATCAATTTCAACACAACTATTATAGTAGTCAAATTTTTTTTACAATAATTTGCCCTCATATATTAATCTTTGCAACATTTGTTGAATTTCTTTTTCTTGGAAATATTTTGAAAATTTGTCAATATAGTTTAAAATTTATTTAGCGCACGATATACTGCTTTCGATACTTGAACCAATCCGTACAAAGCGAGCATAAAAAATCAACTAAAAACTCAATTTCCAAGAAGAAAATGAGTAGCTAAAAAATACTGCCACCTTTAGTTTATTAAACTTTATTACAGATTTTTTTTAAAAATATGGTAATATTAAGTTTTCTTTTTCTCTCAAATAATCTGAAAAAAAGCTCTAGATGACATTTAGCCAGATCTAAAGAATTATTCCCAATGATGGGATTTTCTAATAGATAAGGAGGGTAAATAATTGAATTTTCTGAATTAAACTTCAAAACAACATAAAAGGTAATAGGGATTGATGACACAAGTTTTTTTCCATGACCGCCACAAACAAATGAAGAAGATAATTTAGTGGAGTGTGAAAAATTAAAAACAGGTGTATATTCATTTTGGTATTGATTGTGGAACGACCGATATTTTTTTCGACTGTAGAAACCTACTAAAAATAGTAAGTGATATCTTTCTTTTGGCCTACCAAACATATTTTCATTAAATGTTAATATCTACATGTAAGTATATGCATACATATACATATATGTGGAATTATACCGTAAGCTGTAAGCCCTTTAACAATTTAATGTTTTGATTAGTTTAATTAATACGACTCCACCCCCAATTACAAAACTAATTACATATATCCAACATTTCAAATGCGAATTACATACTTTGTACCAAGTCACAATCGTAAGCTGAAGTCAACAACTCATTACTTTTTATTAAAGGTGTATAACAGCTAAAAAATGTTTATTTAATTAAGTTTTTGTTAACACATATTCTTAAAATTCAATTTTAAATACATTTTTATTATAAATACCGATACCAATTAAATACCATTAAAAATTGAATACTGGTATTAACACAGATATAAATTTATAAAGCCTGTAGCAATTATGAATCAAAACCGATATCAACTAGTTTCAATACCAAAATTATACCTTTAATAAATTTCTTATACATATGTATGTATATTTTTAAATTCTTACTGGCAGTTGAAAATTGTTTGACGCTTAAGTAATCCAATCTTGTGTGTGGTGTGGTGATAACGACCACTTATTACCGAGAAATAAATGCAATAACTACGGGTTTGATGGTTGAAATATAAGATTCGACATAGCCGAATATAACACACTTGTATTATACGTAAAGTTAAATATGTAAAATTTACAAAAAAAAAAAATTCTTTTTAATTATATTTTATTAAAAATTTAATTACAAATGTAATAATTTACATCATGAATTTATTGTTCTTCTCCGAAAGATGTTTCGACGACCGCTTTGCATCTAAGAATAGTGCGTGTACGTCGTCAATGTCATCCTTAGTAATTTGTGTACGTCCATTAACTTTACACATTTGATGAGCTGGAGTTAGAAGTTGTACTGCATAACGCAAAGTCGACGCACTGCCAATCTCGCTGAGACGGACAAAAGCTGCATCTTCCAATTGCAGTCCTTCGGTCTGTGCGCGCAACTTAATAATTTGTTCCATTTCACTTGAATGATATGGTAATGTTCTTATGATTAGAAGGCGGTCCAAGAGATCTAGGGGAATGCCATGTGGAGAAACAATGTCAGTGGTGCCACTAGAATTAAAGATTTTATATTAATTGAAAATAAATAAAATAATTTGTTCTTAATTACCGTATAACACAACGGCCGCGATTAGTAGCGAAAATTACAATTGGCGCAATCGGTGATTCCAAGGACTTGTGTAAGTAAGTAAAAGTCTCAAGATCAAGCATATGTATTTCATCTATAAAGAGGACTCCTGGGACTAACTCGGCAATACCTTGATCTATGTACTTATTGACAACTTTGTTAATTTCCATTCGCAACTTGTCTGTAATTTCTGTTTTTTTTGGCTTCATGAGCTGACCCATCATTGACAATACATCTTGTCCCCCTTGAGGACGGGCATTAGCCACGTCGAGATCGTGAAGGGTCACATCTTGTATAACTTCTTTCTTTTTATGGACGTCGCCTTTAGGCAACGGAACATATTCTTCAGTTTCTAGGTCAAATTCCGTAGCAAAAGTATCACTGCGTCCTTGCCGTTTTACAGCTCCGCTGTTTGCTTCTATGTAAATAACATCTCCTACTTCGACCTTTTCTTTTTGTAAAGCCTCGAAAATGCTGGGATCAAGTTTTAATTGCTTCGTACCCTTAGCAGTTTTCAAACCAATTACAACATTACTAATAGTCTTTCCGTAACCTCCCATAGGATTTTCAGTTTCAACGGGAGTTAGTTCCGTAACTTCTCCCTCGTAAACTTCTTTTGTTTCCCTTATTCGAAGTCCAATCGACCGCCGAAAATTCTCCATAAGAACTTCTGTCTTTTTAATTTCACTACTGAAAACCTCGGAACCAACCATTGGGCAAAAGGGCACTTTATTTCCTAATTCCTGAGCAATAGCTAAGGCAATTGCTGTTTTTCCAGTACCGGGAGGACCAGCCAGCAACAAAGCACGTCCTGCCATCTTTTTCGACTTGATTAAATCGACTACTATTCCCGCTGCTTCGCGTGCAGCCTTTTGTCCAACAAGACCAGCAGCCATTGGTATTGGTACACCGTCCGCATTTAGTCCTAAACCCTTTACATGGCTATGGGCGGCAATACGCTGTGTGCGTACAGTACTTTTCACTTCTTCAATTTTCATTTCGCAAATATTTTATCACACGCTTTACAGAAAATTCGATTTTTTTCCTTCGATTAAAATTATTTGAAATGTTTATTTCTAAGGCAACCACACTTTTTAAATCAAATTGTTTTCGTATGCTAGCGTAGAGATGCCAATATTTCTGAATTAATTTAATCCCAATTTATTTTGAAGAAATCTCTGTTTTTAAACAATTTAAACAGTTTTCATTAAAAATGTTATGTTTAAGGTAAACATATAACGTGAAATTTAATAATATAAACAATTACTCATTTAATTACAAATTTATATTACTTTAGTATACTGAAAATTTAATTAATCCCTATGTAAATAAATGATTTTTTGTGCATCTGGCAACTCGAAATGGTACATTTTGACAGTTGTATACAACTTTCATTAAAAAAAAATAACAATCAGCTGTTGAATTGACTTCACCTTATGAGTGCACCCTGTTTTGATTTTCATCAAACCAGTGCGTGTGACAGAGGGCGAAGTCGTCTTAAAATTGTCGGCGGCGGCGGCTTAAAGTCGGCTAAGAGCCGAATGTTTTTATGGAAATTTAAACTCTTAAATTTATGTTCAAAAACAATGTAAATATCAAAATTTAGAGACTGGGAGGATCACTTTGCTTAAAATATTAATAATAAATGATTTTTATAAAAGGCTAAAAAGTTTCTAGTTTTAGTCTACTTTAATTCTCATTTACACTCTCTTGAATCTTTTGAAGAAATTGTAGATGGTATAGCCATATTAGGTAACAAATATAGAATATTTAAATTAACAAGACATACATTTACATATCTTTTAAATATTTTTTTTTTTTTTGCAAAATATATATATTATTAATATAAAAATATGTTAGCATATTAGTTCCGAAAAAACACATTCATCGAATATACAACGAATATACATATCGGGAGTATTGAAAATTATGAAATATCGGAAATTATGAAATATCCTTTGTAAAAATCTTTTACGTTTTCAAAATATAATTTGGCCAATAATAATTCATTATGTTACAGAATCAAAAATAATTGGTCCTACAGTCTATAGCCTAGTTAATAAAAACATTAAAAAATTTGAGTCGACTTAAGCCGAGTGTTTCGGCGGCGGCTTAAGCAACTAAATATAGTTCGACGGCGACTAAGCGCAGACTCGAAGCCGGTCGACTTCGCCCTCTGGCGTGTGAGTTTTTTTCACTAACCCAATCAAAACAAGTAAGAAAGTATAGTCGGGCGTGGCCGACCATATGATACCCTACACCAGTTATGAATATTAAATGTGATTTATTTTTCATAATATCGCATTTATCTTCAATATTCCCTTGTTCCGATACATTTAAGCAATTTATGGATGAAAAACTAATTTTCTGAAAGAGGCTTTATATGGGGGCTAGGGGCAAATATGGACCAAGCCCGATAAAATTTTGTGAATATATTTATATTTACATAATATTTTATTCTGCTAAATTTCATCGCGATATTTGTGTTTATAAGTAAATTTGGGACATTCAAGTAATTTTCTGAAGGGGACTTTGTATGGGAGCTAGGGTCAAATGGGGCCCGATCTTTATGAAATTTGGCAGGGTCATCCAGACTTCTATAAAACTTAGTTGTGCCGCATTTTATCGATATATCTGTAAATTTAACAAAATTATGAGCTCAAAAGCCCTTTTCGGGGGTTCTGTTCTATGGGGGCTAGGTGAAATAATGGACCGATTTTAACCATTTTCAATAGGCTTCGTCCTTGGGTCAAATAAAACGTGCGTGCCAAATTTCATCCAATTATCTTGAAAATTGCGACCTGTACCTTGCGCACAAGGTTTACATGGACAGCCAGCCAGCCTGCCAGACGGACGGACGGACGGACATAGCTTAATCGACTCAGAAAACGATTCTAAGCCGATTGGTATACTTTAAGGTGGGTCTAGGACGAATATTTTTGTATGTTACAAACATCAGCACAAATCCAATATACCCTCCCCACTAAAGTGGTGTAGGGTATAAAAATTCCTGTGTGTGTGTAACTTTGTGTGATCGTTTCCATCACCCTTAAATAAAATTCAAAATATTGCAAGTGGCAACACTGATTCTTGCATTCGAGTCAGTGTGACCAGGTCTCAAAAAAGTTTTGCGTCTAAATCCCATCCAAAATAATGCTAAAAAATGCTAAATTGTTTTTAAAATGATAAAAATTTTTAAGTGATTTTATGAAGCAATTTATATTAATTAATTTGTAACTCTATTTATAAAAATTAAAAATATTTTGACGTGGCCAACCATATGATACCCTACACCAGATATGTTGAATTTTACCTTGTTTCCGATATATTTAAAAGATTTTTAAAATAAAGGACGGCAGTCGTAATTCGGGTCTGAGTTGGGGAACAACTCTCGCGTCATCGCCATTATTTCTTAAGGACGATCAGGATTGTGTTTGTTGCCAAGCTTTCGACAGAGTTACGTCTCGTTCGCACCAATTAAGTGTATTACTCCGTATAACTGTATCCAAGTTATTCCTTGTTTGCATTAATTGCGTGCTTTCGTTTTACTTACCCCATTTAAGGTTATGTTTAATTAAATTGGTAGAGATCAAATAATACTTTTGACTAATTAATTGTTCGGGGCTCCAACATCCTATATAAAGGTATAAGTCGATTGGAGGGCTCTCTCCGAACCAACGTGAAATAACATAGAATTTTGAGTGTTTTAAATACACCGCCAACAAAAAAAAAAAAATAAAGGACTGACTTTAAAAATTTTAAAAAGGTTTTGTTCTTGAGACAAAAAAATATACATACGTGTCAACAAACTTCATCCAATTGTTTTCAGAAAATGATTCATAACCGATTAGTATAATAAAACGTACTACAGTGGTATAGGGTAAAAGGTTAAATTCAGTGGCATTAAGATAAAACTACAGAAATGCTAAAAAATTATTTAATATTTTTTATAAATTTTACAATTATGTAATTTCTGAATTCAAAAATTCTACTTTGTTATTGTCTTAAGCTGGAGGTCCACACTACGCGTTTTTGCGTAAAAGCATTCCGTGCTTTTCATACTTTATTTGCATCCTACACATCAAAACATGCTACGTTTCTTAAGCGCAAATTTTTTGCTTTATTTTTAAAGAACTTCGGGTTTTTTTAATTTTTTATTTATATTTTCACAGTTTAACTCGTTTTATTTTATAAAAATTAAGAAATACACATTAGGTTTTGGGTAAAGCTTTACTTGGGTCCTATTAGGTCTCTTTGTAACGTCTGGAAAGAAAAAAGATTTGGAAGGAGAAAAATAGCGAAAGAGACAATAAAGACAATATTAAAGGAGTGAGGAATAAAGATGATAAAGAGCCTATAGAGAAGTAGAGAACATAGTGTGTGATTAATTACAAACCCACTTCGACAATTTTAGGAATGCGAGAATACGTTCAGGCTGAACAGTTGACAGATCTGATAGATCAGAAAAGTATGTCGACCATATTGCCTGATGACGAATCGATTCAAGGGCCGGGCAATCACACAGAAGATGAGTAATTGTTTCCTCCTCCTCTTCATTTTGACAAAAGCCATTGAATGGAAGACCAATGCGACTTGCATGGTTTCCGAACTTGGAATGACCAGTAAGAACTGAACTCAGATGTATTCTGCTTAGCCCTAATATATAGGATGTTTTATGAGGATCCATATAAGTCCATATCATCATAGCGATTGAGCAAGTACGTTCTTGAGACCACCGGTCTTGAGTTGAACTAAAAAAAATATTGTGTATTTGTTTCTTAATGGCCGCTAGGCGGACCCCGCAAAACTGGTCTACAACCAGTATGGCCATCCTCGTTCCAGGTTTCGCCAAAATATCAGCAGTAATATTGCCAATTATATCCCTGTGTCCTTTGACCCAACCGAGGGTATTTCTTAAATGTCTCGCCACCTCATTGAGAGACGACCGGCATTCTTGGACAAGTTTTGATGCGGAATATACACCTATCAGGGATTTGATAGCGGCTTGGCTGTCAGTATAGATTCTGATATCCCTGTTGAATATCCGATAGTACCTTAGCCAATTAGATACCCTTTTTATAGCTGAAATTTCAGCTTGTAAGATAGTGCATTCATCATTGAGTCGGAAAGAGATTTTCGTTCCAAATTCTTCGATGAAGATGCCACCGCCGTCACCCTTAGTTGTTTTAGAACCATCCGTATACACATTTAGGCCATCAACATTTACAGATGAAGGTTCATTATAATCAGAGATTATACTATACCGGAAGTTTCTCGTAATGCACGTTTCAGGAATACAGTAGTCAAAGACATGTTGTAGATTTGGGATATTTGTGATACTTAATCTGGCTACAGTACTCATTGCCAGCGGACCTCGCCGTTTAGAGGCGGAAGAGAGAATTGAGGAATTTTGTATTTGCGCGAACACAATACAAGTTCCGTTTTTCCTGGGTTAACGCTGAGACCACAATTTACGCTCCATTAGCTTATTATCTTCAGCTCTACTTCTAATCTCTGTGAAAAGGTCTCAAGATGCATACCAGTTACCGCTACTGCAACATCGTCAGCATATTCAACCGTTTAAAAACCTAGTGAATCAAGTCTAACTTAGAGTCCATCTATTGCCATATTCCATAAGAGTGGGGATAACACCCCTCCCTGAGGAGTGCCCCGTATAGCTCTTTTGCAGATTGTTGTATCACCCAGTGAGGATACAATAATCCGTTGGGATGGCAAGTTCTTCACAAAACTCACAGTGAGTTGGTCCACCCATCTGAGAGAGGGATTGACAGATAGGCGGGGGATCTAAAATTGTCAAAATCAGCTGACATATTCGTGCGCCGCTTATGACACTTACAAAAGTAGAAAGTAGATCTACTTTAAAGGTACACAACACAAAAAAGTTGAAATAGTGTATTTTCATTTAACAAGTTACACACTGTAATTTGTACCGCGTCTGCCGCGAAAAATTCAGCAACTTTTGACGCGTCGTGTACGTGTTGTTTATGCTTCTTCTATGATTTCTGGTATATAGTGTTAGTGACACATTCATCTCTTGGAAAATCTAACTTTTTGGCAATACCTGATGTCATATGGGTGTACCAAAAGTTTCATGAGGATCGGTCTATGTATATTAAATAGTAAATCATATACATACGTAAGTATTATTTTATCAAACAGTTATCAATTTTACAAATAAATTTTTTTAATTAATTAGGAAAATCAAAAAAGTTTAACCAAAGGAGCTTTAGAAAAATATACGCTAGTTCCTCGACTCAAATATTTTTAAAATTTAGCTGTATTATTATTTACTTAAAAGTTTCATTTAAATAATCTTTGAATACAAAGCAAATAAAAGTATCCGAAACCGGTTTTTAAAAAGTAAAAAAACCGGGTTATTCGATGTTCGAAAAATCAACATTAAGAAAAACCGACACTGGTAAAGCAGAAAAAACCGGTTTTAAAACCGGTTAAAAAATCGAGTCGATCACCCTAGTATGTATATAGTATTTAGATAAAAATTCGACAGAAAATAATTTATTCTTACGATTTTTTTGAATCTGTTGAGCCAACCCCGCATTAAATGCCTTATCTCGAAAATCATAAGAAAGTTAAAACAAAATACAAATAATTCAACTGCCATCAACTGTCTATTATAATTTTGAAATGATTTTCACGCTTGTGATTTAAAGGATGTTCCGAGTACAACAAGAATCTGTTTTTGAAATTTGTCAAATACTTCCAAAATCTTGAGATAAGGGTAAAAATCCAGTGTTTCGCACCTTTAAGCACTTATAAATCAGTAAGTTTGTTAACGGATTTTTAAAAATAATAAAAATTCTTTGTAAAATCATTTCAAACTTTTAAAATGGTGCAAAAATAAAATAAAAAATATGTTTGCTGATCAAATGCACATCTCCAGGTTATATATATGTCAGTATAAAGGCCTCAGATCTTCTTTCTAAATCCATTGATAAAATTAAAATCATGATTTTTAGATTCAACTAAGTTACTGATTTATAAATGCTTAAAGGTACGAAAAACCTGTTTTTTTTGTTCGTATCTCAAGATTTTGGAGGTGTTTGGGAAATTTTAAAAACAAATTCTTATTGTAATATGTCTATTCATTAAAACAAATTGTTACAAATTATCACAAATTGTTTTTGTATTTCAATACAAATTTAAAATATTTTTGTGAAAATTTGAAACAACTTTTAGTTACTGAACAGACATAAAACCTAGCAGAAAAATAGTATCAGTATTTCAAATTTCGTTTATTTTGTCTCACTGTGTCGGAAAGAAGAATTTATTACTAAATGCATTTAAAAGTTTAATTGTTTTTGTATACATATGTATTTAATTTCTAAAGATCGGGCAAAATTGGTGGACATGTACAGACTAGATGTTTATCACCATATGCATCATCAATGCGCCCAACGGTAGGCCAAATTTTTGATTCAGGTTTAATGAATAACTGAAAGTAAAATGAAAAAATTTGTAATATTATTGTAATGATACTGTTATGGAATAGTGTATACTCACGGCTGGAAATGCTGCTAATTCTCGACTGTAAGGTCTATTCCAGTTCTCAGAGATGACCTGTGATTGAGTGTGGGGTGCCATTTTTAAGGGATTAATATTTCTATCCATACGCCCAGCTTCAATTTCGGCGATTTCTCCACGTATAGAAATCATTGCCTCGCAAAAGCGATCCAATTCCTCTTTATCTTCAGATTCTGTGGGCTCGATCATAAGGGTGCCTGCGACGGGCCATGACATTGTAGGAGCGTGGAATCCATAGTCCATTAAACGTTTCGCCACATCGACGGCTTCGATATTTGCGGTCTTCTTAAGATCCCTTATATCCAATATGAACTCATGAGCAACAAGACCGTTTTTGGGGTCTTTGTAAAGCGTTTTGTAGTGTTGCTCTAGTTTCTTGGACATGTAATTGGCGTTCAAAATAGCAACCTGTGTGGCCCTCTTTAGGCCCCGACTACCCATTAGTTTAATGTACGACCATGATATTGGCAAAATGGCAGAGCTGCCAAAAGGTGCAGCGGACACAACGCCAAAACTATTGTCATCACTTTCGAGCGGGCTAATTACAGGATGACCTGGTAAATAGGGGGCAAGATGTGACTTAACTCCAATTGGACCCATTCCTGGACCACCACCACCGTGTGGAATACAGAAAGTTTTGTGCAGATTTAAATGGGAAACATCACTTCCATAATCACCGGGGCGACAAAGACCCACTTGGGCATTCATATTGGCGCCATCTAAATACACTTGGCCCCCATGTCTATGAATTAATTCGCAAATGTCGGCCACGGTTTCTTCGAATACGCCCATAGTTGAGGGATATGTGATCATAAGGCATGATAGATTACGAGCATGCTCAGATGCCTTATCACGCAAATGCGCCATATCAATGCTTCCATCTGCTAGAATACGAATTGGCTCAACTTTCATACCTGCCATTTGAGCAGATGCAGGATTGGTTCCATGAGCAGAAATTGGAATTAGGCAAATGTTGCGGTGACCCTCATTGCGGTGTTCGTGGTAGCTACGTATAGCTCTTAGACCAGCGTATTCACCCTGAGCTCCTGAATTCGGCTGGAAGGAGATTTTATCGTATCCTGTGATCTCACACAGATCACGCTCCAACTCTTCAAACATACGATGGTAGCCTTGAGCTTGATCTATCGGCGCAAATGGATGAATATCTGTAAAGTGTCGGAAAGAGCATGGCATCATTTCTGTTGTCGAATTTAGCTTCATTGTGCACGATCCCAATGGTATCATAGAATGAACCAATGATACATCTTTATTTTCCAGCTTTTTCATGTAACGAACCATGCGTGACTCACTGTGATACGAACTGAAAATTGGGTGGGTTAAAAACGGTGATGTTCTATAGAACTTTGAGTTTTCAATTGAATTTTTAAGAATATCACTTTGGGATAAAACCTCATCAAGATTTTTGCACTTGAAGATCCAAAGTATATCATCGATATCTTTCGGTCCAACAGTTTCATCTAGGGCAACACCGATTGTTCCATCTGCAAAGTACCGGAAATTAATTTGTTTTGTTTCTGCTCGAGATTTTACATCTTCTGTGGTAAGGCCATTGCATGGCTGTATGTGCAATGTATCGAAGAAATACTTATTGTTAACGACATGGCCAGCATCACTAAGTCCCGTCTGTAGGGCTAATGCAAAATGATGAATTCGGTTAGCAATGTCTTTAAGGCCTTCGGGTCCATGATAGATTGCATACATCGCTGACATGTTAGCAAGTAAAGCTTGGGCGGTACAAATATTACTTGTGGCCTTATCTCTTCGAATATGTTGTTCACGGGTTTGTAATGCGAGGCGATAGGCATCATTGCCATCCATATCTCGGGTTACACCTATCATTCGACCTGGCATCAGACGAACCAAACTTTGCTTGCAGGCGAAAAAGCCAGCATGAGGACCACCATAACCAAGAGGAACACCGAGGCGTTGCGAGGTACCTACTGCCATATCAGCACCAAACTCTGCAGGTGGTCGCAATAGCGTCAGTGCCAACAAATCAGTGGCGACCACAACTAAGGTCTGTAAACAATATTTTAATAAAAAAAATAACAAATATTCTTAGGTACTTAGTAACTGCTAGTTACTTACACCATTTTTACGGGCCAAAGTAGCAATGTCTTCGAAATCCTTGACATCGCCATATGTGTCAGGATACTGAAGAAGTATACCAGAATATTCCCTGCTTGCTAGATTTGCAGAGCTAATGGAGCCAATTTCAATCTCAAGTTCTAGAGCATCGGCTCTTGTCTTTACCACAGACAGAGTTTGTGGGTGAATTTTGTTTGAAAGGAAAAGCTTTTTGCGCTTATTGTGCCTATAAAACATGAACAGATAGATAGATGTGCATACGAAAAATATTAGAATGGTTAGAAATAATTTTCCACTAAATTGAGTTACCTGGTACATAAGCACATGGCTTCAGCGGCTGCCGTACCCTCATCCAGAAGCGAAGCATTTGCTACATCTAGACCAGTCATCTCAGATACAAGTGTTTGATAATTTAACAAAGATTCTAGACGACCTTGCGCTATTTCGGGTTGATATGGCGTATACTGGGTTGTCCAGCCGGGGTTCTCAAAAATATTACGTAATATTGTATGAGGAACATGGCAATTATGGTAACCCATACCGATATATGAACGCCAAATCTTATTCATTTTCGCTATATTTCGTATACGAACTATAAGCTCATGTTCATCTGAAATTTAAATAAAAACTGATTAATTGTAACGCCTACAAGTCGGTTGATTTCATTTATATGTATAAACAAATATTCAAAATCTAGTTTGTAAAAATCTAGTTTGCCGAAACTTGTCTGCATTACTGAACCAAGACTAAGTATGTAAGTTCTAAAATTTTCCTCATAAGATTCTAATTATCCTTCCAAATTTACGATTCAACCTATGTAAGTTTCAGGATTTACCGATCATAAACCGATAGATATGTATTTAACTATCTGTACGACATTATAAAGATCGTACAGTGTGTTTTGTATGTAAGTATGTAGATCGTGCCTATTTTAATCACATGTTATTTCGTAGTGCTGCTATTGGCGATAACATAATGAGCCATTGCTTTGACATTTGATCCTTAATTATAATACTTTTGCACTTACTATCAGAAAGACTTCGTAATAAAAATATGATAATAATAAGAACTAGGGGGTCTTGATAACACAAGCCTGCCTTTTCTTAAATTATGTCTACAATGTGAATATTCATGCGTACATACATAAGTATGTATGTTTCAAAATCAAATACGTATATATGTATGTACTTTAGACAGACTAACAAAAAATGGTGCTTGAGTTACCCTCCTCAAAATATTCGCTGTTGTGTAATATGATGTTTTCCAAAATATTTTAGGTTCAGTGTTGCCCGTTCGTGAGCTGGACAGTTTTCAAGAAAATATCCTATGGGGGACACGATTTTTCAATTCAATATTTTGCCCAGCTTCAAAAAATCTTTGTTTTGTTTTATGATAGTTCCCAAAATATTTCTAGTCTATCGGTGGCCGTTCGTGAGCTGGACCGGTTACAAAAAAGTCCCTTTTTAGTTATATTTTTAAATTTTACAGTTTTTTCTTTAACAAAATATACAATATGTGGTATCATTTGAAAGGTTTTTTAAAGCCACGTGTAGTAGTGTTGTGCATTAATTTTATTTATATAAATGAAAAACCTAAAAATTTTTTGGAATATGACAATTATGAGCAGACGGTTATTTATGATTAATATATCATTGGACGCGGCTTTAAAATCCCTTTCAAACGATACCCCATATTGGACATATTGTTTCAAAACAAAACTAAAATTTTAAAAAAATAATTCAAAAATACCTTTCCTAAATTTGGTCCAGATCGCGAACGGTCATCGCTAGACTTAAAATATTTTCGTAATCATCATAAAATAAAGCAAGGTAAATTTTGAGAGGGGTAACAAAAACACGTTTTATCTTTCCATACAGAGTGAGTCGTTCTAATGTGCATACATATTGGATTTTGAAACGTTTGTAAAGTTATATTTTTATACTTTATACTTACTTAATGGTTTGTCTAGATTCAAATCTCGATTTAATTGTATTTCTTTTGGTACGGCCCGTTCTGTAAGCTCTGCCAGTGACTAAAACATCATTTAATTAAATGCTTTAAAAAATACAATAGCCTAAAGAAATTAACTGCTTACCTTGAATCCTAAACTATCCAGCATTGCCACAACATCAGTCTTTCGTGGACCAATATGGCGGCTCGGAAAATCTGACTTACTTGGAAATAGAACATCTCCAACAGATGTTGTTGCCAAACAACGTGTTAATTGATTATAATTACTATTTTTAACTAAACGATATGACGACTCTTTGGCAATGGATGCAATACCTTGTGGTAGGTATTTTGGTATTCGATACATTTTGAATGTTTTAAGATCACGAATAGATTAATAAAAATAAAAGTGACTTTATATGATGACAGTCTAAAACTGACTGAATTCCTTTAAACTTTGAGAGACCAAAAGATGTGTCCATGCTTTGTTATCACAACAATTGACTTTCTTATCACTGTCTGTCTGACTTTAGTACTCACATTATACTAGTACACAAGCAAACGTATGTACATATTAGGGTGATAAATTATTCGACATTTTCCAAAAACCGGTTTTCGAATAGTGTAAATAGTTGACATTTGAAAAAAACCGACACTGGTAAAGCAAAAAAAATCGGTTTTGAAACCGGTTGAAAAACCGAGTCGATCACCCTAGCACATATGTATGTATAAACAATGTTGGTGTTGATTTAACTAAGTCTTAATTTGTACCAAATAACCAAAAATATACTTTTCTAAAGAATTGTCAAATAGTGTTATTGTTTTAATCGCAAATTACATACATAGCAGTTCTATGCCGATATAGCAATGTGTATAGTGTTGCGATCGGTAAGTAAGTAGATGTAAAGAGTTGATATTTTATTTATATTTACATGTTTTCAAAATAGAGGGTTCTGCGTTTTACTCTCTTGTCTATCAGTACAAATCAGGCAAAGTGTGCTTTTTTAGTACTTTTTTCAGTACTTTACTATAGTGTAGCCTGTAGTCTAGTTTATAGTCTAGTCTATAATCTAGTCTAGCCTACAGTCTATTAAAAAAACGCCAAAGTTTGGCATTTTCTGACTAGATTAAAGTTAAAAAATATTTTTAAATATAAGTTGTAAACTAAAAACGGTAAAAATAACACATTGAATAAGAAACAAAAAACATGTTATAAAACTTAACTTTATACTAAAATTCAACTAAAAACAAAAAAGTTAACTTTAACCCTCCATCCCTTTTTTCTAATGGGCCGATTTTTAAGTTTTATGGTAACAATAGAAGCCCAAAGTCTTACCTACCAAACAAAAAAAAAGACTGGCTTTTAAAATTACAATCCAATCAAAAGTTATGGATTTTTGAGCGCCATTTCCCAGAATGGTCCACGGTGCGCTGTAATCTTAATATTTGGGCGCCCGAGAAAGCCACGAGTCGCAAACAATTTTGTACTTTGGACCCTTTCCCATTCTTATTTCTTGTAAGTCATTGTAGAGCTTTTGAACCCATCTTCAATATCGTTGATTTAAATTTTGAACATTTCAATATTACGTTTGGCGGCAAAAATTATAATTTGATGGATTGATGTAATGAAACATTTTAAAGAGCTGTACAATTTTTGAGCTTTGAATTTTCTTTTATTTTTATACCCTTCACCTTCGTGAGAAGGGTATATATAAGTTTGTCATTCCGTTTGTAATTTCCAAAATATAATTTTCCGACCCTATAAAGTATATATGTATATTCTGAATCCTTATAGATAGCGGAGTCGATTAAGCCATGTCCGTCTGTCTGTCTGTTGAAATCATTTTTCTAAAGACCCCAGATATCTTCGGGACCCAAATCTTCAATAATTCTATCAGACATGCTTTCGAGAAGTTTCCTATTTAAAATCAGCAAAATCCGTCCATAAACAACGGAGATATAAGCAAAAATCCGAGACAACCTCTAAAATTTTCATAAAAAATAAGCAACAAGCAAGCTTATTCATTGCGTTGTGTATTTTGTTTTTTTGAGTATTTCGTTTCATATGTTTGGATGGCTGTGTGTTTCATTGCCTTGTGTATGTTGTTTTTGTTTCTTAGAGTATTCAGTTTCGTATGTTTGGATGGCTGTGTGTTTCATTGCCTTGTGTATATTGTTTTTGTTTCTAGGAGAATTCAGTTCCGTATGTTTGGATGTCTGTTGGTTTCATTGCGTTGTGTATTTTGTTTTTGTTTTTTTGTGTATTTCGTTTCGTATATTTGGATGTCTGTTGGTTTGCCTGCCTTGTGTATTTTGTTTTTTGTGTGTTTATTTCGTTTAGCGTTGTTGTTGTTCATTATGTTTTGCTATTGCTATAATAATGATATAGGCGGGAAAATGAAATATGTAAATTAAAATTTTATAAAATTTATATTTTTTAAATACACTATGGTGAAGGGTATATAAGATTCGGCACAGCCGAATATAGCACTCTTACTTGTTTATGATGATTTTGTCCATCGATGATCTTTGAATTTTATAAAGGCCCACAATTCTTTAAGCCTTAAACTATGGAAAAGATACTTGTTAATCTCTAAAAAAAATATTAGTACATTTTGGTGTTGTTAACTGTTCCAGGAAAACGGTTATGCCTTTCTTTATGTTTCAGAATTTGTATAAAATATGTACCCTTTTCTAAAAAAAATTTGAGTTGTGTCACTTTTGTACTGGGTGTGCGATATGTAGATACTTTTGGTAGAATGCTTCGCTATATTGAGGTTTTTTGGCTTAGAATTTCTTCGTTATAGCTACATATAGTGTATTTTTGTATGAACAACTTTGCAATAAAGAGGTTTTTCAAGAGACTGAGAAAACAGTTCGTTATAACGAGCTTCATTTTTTGTTAAACATAGATAATTATTATAATTATAATTAAAGTATAATATATTTTTTAGTTTTTAAGATTCCAATCTTATTGGCTATTTGTAGTTTTGAATTCTAACGACAAAACATATAAATTTGTTTATTATAAATCATTGAAAACTTAAGATATCAGTTAAACTTACGAAATTCTATTTTTACATTGTTTGTCTATTAACTCATTATTTAAAAAAACTTGACTTCGCGACACAGAATTAATAAATAAATAATCAATACAACACAATATAAGTCAAACTTAATTCAAGTATCACAGGGTATACAAAAACGATTTCAATGATTTTTTTAGCTGTATTTTATATACCTCTTCTAACCAAACAATTTCAAAATGAAACAAAATCTGATTTTATACCTTTTCAAATGTCAAAAGTGACATCTCTTAATACTTTGTGCTAGTATCACAGAACTTCAACTGATTCAATAATTAAATATTGCAGCGGAATATTGTAATTTTGTGTTATCCTTGTCTTCTTTCGTATTCACGGTATTGTGTATTTTGTGTTGTATTCTTAAGCTTTCAAGAGTGTATCGTTTGTTCTCTATCCAATATATTTACATTATCAAAATCCATCTTATGATCACATTCCTTTACATGCAGAGATAATGCCTTCGTTATTTTTCAATATATTTTGAATATTCTTTACAGAGAATGGCTTAAATTTATTATACGTATAACTCTCCAATTATAAAAAAAATATACCACTTATAAAGCTTTCAATTCTATGATTTGTGAGTTTTGGAGTTATATACCCACAAAGTTATATTTATATATATTCAATATTTTCCCTATTAATGAACCCATTGGGGATCAATTCCACAAAAATTATTTTTTATATAGAGTTTTTTGATAAAAGTGCCGTTATTTCACAAATACATCGATATAATGGTACAGATAAATATTGAAAAAATTGTGTACAAAATGTCGAGCTTTCATTTGATGTATCTTCGCAATTGTTGTTGTTCAGTTAAAAACAAAAACAATTACACAAGAAACAATTTTAGATCTTCCAACTGCTTGAAATAGGATCACAAAATAAGTTTTTAAAACCATCGTATTTTAAACACCAGAATAATTCATTTAGTAATAAATATATTCTGCCTTATTCTAATAATCAGTTTTAAATCATACAGTTGCGTTCAAAATAATAGGAGTGAAAATTTAAAAAATTTTAAATATAAATTTTTTACTGAAAGATTAAGATTTTTAATTAAATATTTATTAATTTAACTTGTTCTCTAATTTTTATTGTCGTTATTTTAATTATTTAGGAAATTTATTTAAAAAAATATATATTTTTTTAAATTTACTTAAAAAATCTGTTGTTCAAAATAATAGGAGTATTCTAGTTAAGTTCAAATATTTTTAAAATAAAAACAAAAACGAAGGGAATTTCATTTAAAATATTATTAATTAATGTGTAGCATCACCGCCATTTTATCAAATTTGTTTATTGGGAATATGAGAACATATCTTGGGGTAATATGTTTACCTACAACATTTGGTCTACGATACCATTTTAAAAATTTTTAGACCATACCCTTTTTGTCAAGACCCATCGTGAATCATTCCTATTATACGACATCTTTGAAAGTTGGTTAGAGCTTAATATTTTTTGATTAATGGACTTCCAATATATTTTCTGAATTCATTTAGACTAAAAAATGTAATTTGTTGTCGTATTCATGCATTAAAAATTCATCCATGTATGAAACCACCACTAAATGCGTTACTTGGTAAACTTTATGGGTTTCACTATATGCTTTATGGTCTGAAATTAAATGTTTTCAAAAAAGATTTGCTTAAAAATTGATCTGAACTAACTGAATATTGATCACGATGTTTAATAACTACAATTTGGCTTAGTTTCACAAATTTGGGACGCCCTAATGGGATTAATTTTAAAAAATTATAAGCGCTTATGGGAAGCGCTTATCACATTTGAAAAAAATGTTTATTTTTTATGAGAGATTTTAAAACATTTGACTTCTTAAAGTATTCAAAAAATCTTTTAATGAAATTACCATGAGATTTTTCATATTTTTTTCGCGTCATTTTCATAATTTTCAAGATATTTGAACAGATTTCATATTCGTCAATTCTGACATTTTCTTTCAGGATTTTAAATGAAATAATTGTGAACTGAGCTTAAAATTACTTAAAATCATCTAAATATAACAGTTTTATATTATACTTTTAATATTTACTACGAATAATGGAAATTAATTTAACTTAGGTTATATAACATACGGTACTCCTATTTTTTTGAACAGTCGAAATCTGATATGGATTTCGAAAAAAGTGAATACCAATAAAACTAATGAACCTATATAAAAAATTTCATTCGATTTGTATTTTAAACACTTAACAAATAAATATCGTGAAAAAATATTGGATTTCTGTAAATGTTTCTTTGTAAAATTAAGATGCATAATTATTTTTAAGTCTCACTCCTATTTTTTTGAACGCAGCTGTATATCGGGATCATTTTTGAATCAGTTTTTAAGCGCGCATTTTATTAAT